AAATCAGTAAATAATGGACCAGAGTGGATGTATGCAAAGTTAGCTTATTCAGACAGAATGGCTCCAAGACCAGCTACTAAGCGACAATAGAATTTTTAAAACATATTAAAGAAACAATGTTTTCATCAAAAGAAGAGTTGGTCAGAAATGGAAAAAAGACAACCCTGAGAGGCAAAAATTGAAAGCAATTAAAATTCTACTATGGTAGTTCTCACAGCTTAATGCCATTAAATTACCACATCCTATATTAATTTCTTTTGTTCTTACTCCAAGCTCCTAAGCTAGCTGCTAAGTTCTCATGTAATTTTCCTACAGAGGAAAGTCCTTGGTCAGAAAATCAGACTTACTACTTGGCAAATATCCCAAGTATACTGATAAATTAGTATCCTGGTAAATTCATCACCTGTGACTATCACACACATATATACACAGATACATATACATATATCTCTCCAAGTTTCACAATCACTATTGCACGAGCGAGGTTGTGTTTCCAAGCCACAAGAGTTAGGAGCTTTGGTTTTTGTTTGTTTGCTTGTTTGTTTTTACAGTAAATTCATCAATGAATTTAATAATGAAGGTCTATTGGAGGCCAGCAGCTTTTTCTTTCACTAGAGCATTAGTCATTTAAAGCACCAACTCCTCTATGCACATTTTTACTCCTCTATACATAGTCAACTATCTTGTAACAGGATGAAGTATGCAGGAACATGGTAAAAATATCAGCAAATTCTATTTCATGAGTGTGAGCACTACAGTTCACTAGCAATAAAAGTTTTGCTTTGGGCCTTCCTGGTGGGGCATGGGTTAAGTACAGCAATGTGAAGCTAACTGTAGCCTCTGCAGCAGGAGTTCCATCCTGGCCGACCAGGGAGCTACCCATATGGTACAGCAGACCCCTCTTGTCCTGCCCGCTGAAATATACCAGTGTATTTCAGTCAGTCTGCCCGTTCTGTTCCCCACTCTGTCTCTGGTGAATCCTCTCACCCACCTGTACCTCTGGCCTGTACCCCAGTTCCTGTATACATAAATAAATAAATCTTTAAAAAAAAGTTTTGCTTTCTTTTAAAACTAATTTTCTAAAATGCTTTCATAAAAAAAAATCTCATTTATTATCTTGTGATTTTGTAAACAGGTAAATAAGCAAGACCTTTGAAAATTCTGTGATATTACATTTTTCTTCCATTCATTTATTCATTCACTCCTTTATTCATTCAACAAATATCTATTGAATTCATACCAGATGCTAGGCACTGCACTCAGGGCTGGAGATACCCTGTTGAATAAAAACTGGCAGTCACTGCTCTTGTGTGCTTAAGAATTAAGAGCAAACACTAACTAAATTATCACACAGAAAGTTGTAAAACTACATCTGTAACTTATTAGCAAGTAAAGGTATATGGTACAATAAAAGTTTATTTTTAATAAGGACATTTAATCAGGTCAAGGAAACTTCTCTGAGAAAGTGATATTTAAGCTAAGATCTACAGGACAAGGAGTCAAAGACTGAGATTTTAACAATCTGGTGCTTGTAAACCAGAGGTGCCTACATCTACACTCATTCTCCAGTTTTTCTCCCGCTCTCTCTTAAGTAAAATGCCCATTTGATATCTACTACTCTTTCTTCCACCAAAACTGCTTTCAAGATTCTCAGTGACCTACCCTCCACAGTGTCTCAACCAACCTAAAGCAGCATTTAACGTAACTTAATACTCCTTCCTCTTTAACCATTTTCTTCACTCAGCTTCTAAGATTTCTCATTGTGGATTTTCCTCTCAGTTCACTGGCCACTCTGCATAGTAACCTGTGAGGATAACTCCAAATCAACCAAAACTCCATGGAATACTTCTTTGTATAATACCAACTATTCTCAGGCTTTAACTGCTATCAAAACACTGCTATGAAACCTACAATTATACCCACTAGCCAGATCTCTCCCTTCATCTCCAGACTCATTTATCTAACGGCCTAAACCTCACCTCTACTTCAGTGTCTTTAGAAGCAGTTCAAACGTAACGTGGTCAAACTAAACACCTGATCTCCCCCCCACCTGTGTACACTTTTGGAAATGTTCCCAAAACAATTAATGACAATTATTTCCTTCAGTTGCTCTTGAGTTATTTTTGATTCTTTTTCTTTCACATTTTCAATCTGTCAGCAATATCTGTTGGTTATAATATATTTCCAGACTCTGGCCTCTTCCTATTGCCTCCATTTTTATCACCCTGGACCAAGACACCACTATCAATACATCTGGATTACTTTAGCTTCCTAACTAGTGTCTCAGCTTCTATGCTTGTTTCTCTATTGTCTACGCTCAATGCAATTTTTTTAAAAGACAATATTTTTTAAAAGTCAGATCATGCACTCATATACTCAAAACCCTTCAATGACTTCCTTTCCTATCTCAATCAAAAAAGTTCTTTCCATCACCTACATGACTTATTTCTTCTATCACCTCATGTTATTCTCCTGCACCCAGGCACAATGCTCTTTCTCACTATGAGAGGGTAGAGGACTTTGCTGCTGTCAGCAGCTTTGCATTGGCTGTTCTCTTCACATAAATGTTCTTCCTCAAGGAGTCTGCAAGACTTACTCATTCTCCCACCCAGGTCTCCTCAAATTTCCCCTTCATTAGGTCTTCTCTGATCACTTAAAAATCAATCTTTCTCCCCACCACCTGGCACTTCCTTATTCCTTTTCCCAGTTGGTTCATACTTTTTCCCACTGCATTTCTTTATTATAACATACACATTTGTTGTCTACCTCTCCTTGGTAAAATATAAGCTCTATGAATAGGGACTTTTATACATTGTGCTCACTGGTACATTTTCAATGTCCCATTAAATAGTAGGCACTCAACAGATACTTACTGAATGAATGAATGAAAGAGAATGAGACTACAGAAAACACTGTATGATTGAAACAGATAGGCAAAGAGTGATAGTCTAAGTACAGCTGGATAGTGGAAAGGGATCAGATGACGTTAGGTTTTTATAAAAAAGTTTTGCCTTTAAGAGCAGTGGGACATCACTGAATAGTGTTAAGAGAAAAGCTGACTGAATTTGCACTTTGAAGGGACCATTCTGGCAGCTGTATGGAGAATTGAAAGAGAAGGACCAGAGTGAATAACCAATATTACAACATCCCTGACAAGAGAATATGACAGTTTAGAATGAGGCTGTGCTTCTGTAAAGGAAGGGAAAAGGATGGATTGTTTGGGAGATAAGACTTGCAATACTTAGTAATAATTTGGCTATAGAGTTATGAAAGATGAAGAAATCAAGAATGTTTACCTTTCAGATTTTCACAAATTAAAGTACAGTGGTAGCCTTAACTGAAATAGGGAATACTGGAAAAGAATCAGATTTTAGGCACTAACCATGTATTTGGTTTTAGGCATGTTGAGTTTGAGATGCATTTAAGATATCCAAGAATAAATATCAAAGAGATGGGTTTATGAAAGCTGAAAAGTGAAGCTGATGAAGCTATACATTTGAGAGCTCCAGGTGATGGTGAAACCACAGGCATGGATGAGGTCACATCAACCATGAAATTAGAAAGGGAAGCTAGGTTTAAGAAATTACCCTGATCTTTGTGGGTTGAACATAGGAAGATGAGCACAAACAGGAACCAAAAAAAGGAATGGCTTTTTCATTTGTGTTTTAAAATCACACTCAGAAATTACTTTCATTTTTAAAATTCTGATTTAAACAAACAGAATTAGAATGTAGCAAAGCTTGCCACATTAGTCAGATTCATTGAAACTATAAATCTGTTTTAGAAACTGTCTCTGCAGAACTTCAAAGTACATCGGTAAGCAATCAATCACCCCTTCTTAAATATATGATTTGACTTATTGCAGTTTCCTGAAAGTACCAAACTTGTCTCCCCTCTAGGCCTCATCACATGCTGTTCGTTTGTTCTCCACTTCCCCCTGATGTAGGTTTCCCTGATTTTCCCAGACAGGGCTAAGTGATTTTTCTAGCCATCCCAATGATATATTGTAGTTCAACAGTATGCATAACTGTTGGTTTCTCTAAGCAGATTTAAAAAAAAAAATACTCAGGACCTACAAGGCTAGATAGAAACACATCTTTTCTGCAATGTGAAGAATTAAATCTAATTTGAGTATCATTCCACTGACTGCCTTTCAAGTCTTAATTTTTCACCTCGACTTAAAAAAAAAAAAGCACTTTATAAACAAATGCTTGAATCTTTTAAATATATTGAATTCTGGAGTTTTGTGTTTGTCTATTTCATATAGTGCCCGTAAGCCTCGCAAAAAGTCACGTCCAGGAATACTGGGGATTCTTTTCCACTCTGTCTCATACAACATCAATCTGACAGCTGGCTTTCAAAGCCCTGTTTGGGATTTGACAGAGCAAATGAACATCCTAATGCAAGGACAAGCAAAGGTGCAACCGCACAGGCATCCCTACTGGATCCAGCGCGAGTCCACTAAAAAGGGCAGAGCAGAGACAGAAGCTAGGAGCACCCACTTTCACATCATTCCTTTCACCTGGCCTTAATCTGCTCCCTGTGACCTTGAAATCGCGACCATTCCCAAATCCTCAGGAGTGTCCTCAGGCTTGGGTACCCGGGCTAGTCCTTCCCACGCAAACTGCTGGGGAGAAAAAGCCCTTGAGAGGGCGTCCCTGGATGGCTTCGTCTCCAAAATCCCAGAGGAAATGGAGGAAGGGAAAACCCTGTAAAAGGAAAAGTGCCCGCCAAGCCCACAGCGCTCACCAACTCCACGCTCTCAACCTCCTTCTCCTTTAACCGTCGGCTCCCGGGCCGGCCCTGGCAACGTCGCAGTGGCTCCTGGGGGCTGTAGTTTCTTGTCGCAAGCAGAAACGCGTCGGTCGTGTCAAAACTACATCTCCTATAAGCCCTTGCGCGGAAGCCCTGCCTCCTTAAATCTGGGGTGTGGCGTAATAAGAGACCGCCGCTATTTTAAGACTAATCTTAAAATTTAGATTCAATCTCTATAGACGTGCCTTCGGGCCCCCTTTCCTTGTGATTTTCTTGACTGTGATAGTTTCAGTGTATTTCACCTTCTCGTCCTTTTCTTTCCCTTTCTCCAGCGCCGAGACGCCGAAATTCGACGCACGGAAAACACCGCCAAGGCGTACTTTGCGTCTTCTAAGGCGCATGCGCCCTGCTTGCGTCACGCATGCGTAGCAACCGGCAGCGGTTGGCGGCCGTGCGCGGACTTGGGGTCTGGAGGTAGCCTGCGGAGGGCGGGGCTTTTTCCAATGGCTTTGCCTCCGTGGGTCGCGTCTGCCGGGGCGGGGAAGAGGGCGCTGGGGCAGGGGCGGCTCCTGGCTTGTGCCGGGCGGAGAAAGGGGAGGGGCTGGGGTGAGGACCCCATCTCTCCTTCCTGCTCCCGCCCTCTGGGCCGAGCCCCACCGATGGGGCTGGGCGAAGGGGCGGACTGTGCGCCTGGGGCCCTGCCGCTCCTCCAGCGCCGCGGCCCAGCCCTGAACCCGGGGACTGCGGGGACGCCCTGTCCTCCCCTGGCGTGGCCGGCGGTGGGCTGGGTCGCGGAGACCGGGGGAGAAATCCCGTTGCCCGGGGGTCTTCAGTCAGCGGGGCGGGAGCCGCTTCCCTTCTACGCGACCGCCGAGGAAAACAGAAAACGCCCCAGGGCGGCTGAGTCCGCAGCAGCCGCGGCCAGCGAGCCGGGATCCTGCGCGCCCGTGCGGCCAGCGTCCGGCCGGCTGCGGAGACGCGGGGAGGAGCTGCGGAGGGCGGGGACTGGTGCCGGAGGAGGGGCGGGGTGGGAATGCTCCCGAGAACACGGTGGCTGCACAGACAAAAAACCCCCGAATGACTGGAGAGCGTTCCACGGTTAGCAGCCTTTGGGGGCCGAGCACGGATTTGACAGCTCCACGACGCGAGGACATCCGCTGACCCCGAGAGACGCAGGAGACCGCTGCTCGGAGATCGCCTGTCAAGCACAGCCAGCGCTGTAAGGTTTCAACTTTCCAACTTTTTTTTTTTTTTTTTTTTTTTTTTGCCAGTCTCTGACCAGAAGACTGTGTCCCTTCGTATCTTTTCTAGCTTGTAGACTGGTTGAAAGCCATCAGTAGAAAAGACATTTCTGGTTCCACATGTCGCGCAGACGTGTGTTTTCATGACTGTTTTTGATTTTTGCATTTGTCGTTTTAAAAAACACAAAGTGCTTTCGGTGACATGCTGAAAGGTAACTGAAGACCGCGAGGAAAAGCTCCAGTTGTGATGGCTGAAGGAGAGAATGAAGTGAGATGGGATGGACTGTGCAGTAGAGATTCAACTACTAGAGAGACAGCAATGGAAAACATTAGGCAAATCGTTTTGAGAAAAACTGAGTACCTTCGTTCGTTGAAAGAGACACCTTGTCCTCCATCAGACGGGCTTTCAAATGCTGTTTCTTTGGATGGGTTGAATAAGCTTCTTGCTCATCTGCTTATGCTTTCTAAGAGGTGTCCCTTTAAAGATGTAAGAGAGAAAAGTGAGTTTATTCTGAAGAGCGTCCAGGTAAGGAAGAGTATTATAAGTACAACTCTATTACAGTGAAATTTTACTCAAAATGTTTACTTTGTGTTTGCGTTATGATATGAACTCTTATTATGAATTTACATCCTAAACTTAAAGTGTTCTGTAAAATATTAAAATTAGGGCCTAAACTGACAAGATAAACTAAAGTAAAAGCAATTTGCAAACATAAGTAAACAAGTCTTTCTTTCTAGGGTGTTTTAGGCAGAAACTGCATTCCTTTTGGGAAAACGTGCAAGTTAGAGATAATTGCAAGTAAACACTTGCTTTTCCTTACATTCATTTTTACATGTTGGGAAGGGTAGCCAGTATGCTTTTTACATTGTTACAAACAGCGTTCTGTGTGGAAAGTTTCAAATTTCAAAGCCTCTAAAATGATAAAGGATATTAAATGTTTCCTACTCAGCTTGTTCAAAATAATTCGTCAGTTTTCTCTTGTTCTTAAAACAAAAAGCCAGGGTGTGTTCTTTAAAATGCAACCTTTCTTCAAAAATAATTACATAGAATAATGAAAGCCTGTGTTAAAAAGGAACTGACATCGTCAAATTCAAAAGTTGGATCCAGGTGGAGTATATATGGTAGAAAGACTCTGATGGTAAATTGCTCAATCAGCTTTCTCTGTGTTTGCCTAAGTTGTTTCTTTTCTTTTTCACATATGTACCTATTTAAGTTGTGAGTACAATAGATAAAAAATACAGTTTTTCACCTGTTTTGTACATAATCAGCTTATCCTATTTTGTTAGAAGACTTATTAGAATTTTTTTTTTTTTTTTTTTGGAAAGGTAGTGTTTGGATATTAAGAACAGTCAATACTGCTCTTCACATTTTTAAAAATTACTCCACATGTGTTGTTCAAGACCATATTGTGAGAAGTTTTTATAGTTTATCGTACTGGGATATACATGTGAGCTATGATGGATTGTTTTTCTATTCTGGTTTGAATTTAATATAAAGCAATAATCTTGTCCATAAAGTAAAGGCTACTTACGCTCTTAGGATATTTCTCAAAGAAACATTTTGGAAACAATTATTATACTTCCTTTATTCAGAGTTACCAGAGAGGAATTAATATTCTAGATACCTTAAGTTTACCCTTTTAAATATCAAAAGTTATTTTTCTATCATTTAGACTGTAGTGACTATAATAACTTTTTCCCTCCCACAATGGGGTCATCATTATGCACCTCAAGTACTGTTGTAAAGTAGTGGGTGGCATATATATGAGTGACCCATGCATGCCTTTTTATTTTGTCTTCTGTTTTTATAGTTTTTTGTTCCTTCCTTTGCTGTCAGTAGCCGCCACTTTCTCTTTTCTGAACCTATTATTTTGCTTCTTATTTATATTAAAATAGGAACCAGATAACTGATTTTATTAAGAGTTATATTGGAAACAGCAGTAATTAGACTCTGGGGAGTAAAGGGTCAAGACTGATATAATGGTAAGTAAATGGCTCCTGAAGTCAGACAAGCCTGGCCTCAAATCCTACTCTTTCACTGAAGTATTTCTTAACTTTGGACAAGTTATTTGACCTCTTTTAGCTTGGATTTTCACATCCATAAAATAAGAATATCATCTGAGCTGTTGTGAGAATTAAATGAGATGTAAAGTACTCTGGTATGTAGTGGGTACTCTTCTCCCTTTCGTAAGTGAAATACATGGACTATGTGATATATATTTCAAGACTCATTCATCCTCTTTTCTATAAAGGTTTCCCATAGGCTTATGCTTTTTTTTCATCTCTGCATCTATTGTACTCCATTCCTGCCGCTTTACGTAAAGTGCTATTATAATCATATGTTTATGTGTCTGTCAACCCCAGGAGGGCTATACGTTCTCAAGAGTATTGGCTGGGACATGGAAGCCACTAAATACATATCTGGTGGATGAACAAATTTATATGTGACTTCTTTTTGTTCCTTATCAGCCTGATTAAATGAAGCTACTAGATTAGGAAATTTCCACACTCACATTCATTTATGCCTTCATTCAATAAATGTTTATCGAGCACCTGGTGATAGACATTCTAAGAACTGAGAAGTTCTGATACTACTGAAGGGAAATAGATCATTAAGAAATAAACAAATAAATAATGGGATTTATATATTAAGGAAGGCTTCCCAGAAAAAGATGATATTTAAGGAGAGATTTGGTAAATGAATAGTCAAAATGAGATTTGTGAAGGGAGATATTCCAAACATTGGTAACTATATGGCTGAAGACCTTATGGCAAGAGAGAATAGATAAATTCTAGGAACTGAAGGTTAAACAGTGTAGCTGGAGTGTACAGTCTAGGTGAACATGAAAACTTAAAAGCACATTCTCTGAAGTATTGTGTCTGACTACAATATTAGCTTAGATAAATTACATATTGTCCCTTTGATTTAGTTTTCTAATCTGCAAAATGAGGAGGATACTAATAGTTCCTACCTAAGAGAATATAAAACAAAATAATGCTTGCAAAGCATAGCATATAATAAATGCTCTGTAATCATAAGAGTTTTTACTGTTTTTAGGTAGGAGTCAGATACCAGAGAATCTTGTAAGCCAAGAGTTCTGGACTTTGTTCTAATAACAATAGGGAGCTACTAAGGATTTGTTTTTTTTAATGGTGAAAAAAATTATATTTAGAATTAGCCAGTTAGACTCAGTTTAGATGATCTCAATTTTGTTGGCAACATCCAGAGCATCACATTCAGCAGCCAGTTGAACACATGCCTTCTCTCCATCAGATCTGATCAGGGCGTTGACCTTGGTTACCTCAATGTCACAGCCTATTTGGTCTGGTGCTTGTTGGTCTTGACATCCACAATGAGCACATTGCTTTGTTGTCTTCTGTTTTCTTCATGACTGACTCAATGGTCAGGGGGAAACTTAAAGATGGCAGAATGGTCAAGCTTGTTTCTACCAGAAGCACTCCTATGAGGACATTTGGGTTGCCTTTGGAGTCACGGTGTCTTGGGCCTCTGAAAGGTGGGTGAAGTTCAGATCTTTTTCTTGTGGCTGTGGATGCCTTTCAGTATTGCATTCTTGGCCTTCAAAGCTGCTTCTTTGGCTTTGGGAGGGGCAGGGGCTTCCTTCTTCCTTCTTGGGTGTCATCTACAAGAAAAGCACTAAGGGTTTTAAGCAAGATGGTGAAATGTTCTATGGTATAAGAGAGGGAAAACTTTGGGATCAATGTGGAGAATGAATTTAAGACATGAAGAGTAAATATGCAGTATCAGTTCGGAGGCCATTCCACTGATCCAAAGCAAAAATAATGGTGGGGTACGATATAATGGGAAAAGCAGGAAAAAAAAAAAAGTGAATGGGTTATGGAGCTATTTAGCAGTTAGAAAGCACAGGATATAGTATTTGATTTGCATTTAGGAGATAAGGAAAGTATCAAAATCAAGGCTGACTGATTTTCTAGCTTGAACTACCTAGTGAATATTTCAGTCATTTCCTGAGACAGAAGAGTGTCAGAGGGTCATTTAAGGGAGAATAATGTGTTGTTTTAGACAAGTTGAGATTAGTCACCTGGTATACATTTTATTAGAAATAACTACTAAAGGGATTTCTGCTTCTGCAACCACTGTTGTAGTTCTGCCATCATTACCTCTCACTTCTCCAGACATAACCATCCTCTTCATTTTATAGCCATCCTTCACATAATTGCAGACCCATTTATCTAAAATAAATATCTGAACATTTAACTCTCTTTCCTAAAATAGAATTGGTAGAATCTAAACTTCTTAGGACTGTAACTTAATGACCAGCATGGTCTGGTTTCAACTTACCACTCCTGCCTCACTCCTCATATTCTAGCATCAGACTTACATGAAAATCAAATAATTGAAATGTAGTGCTCCACAATGTTTTCTGTTATTCATTAGTAAAGCCCCAAAAGCTAAGCTGTATTTGCAATTCCTGCAGCTGTTTCTGAAGGCCCTTAATTGCTAAAGGTCAACACAGATGATTCTAGTCAGGGAGTGATAGTGAGACAGAGGTAAAATGGATTCCACTCAAAATGGCTAAACCTGTGGGGACTAAATGGCACTTTAGGAAACATTTTCTGGATTCCTATTCTCGATTTATTGATTTCAGGTCCACATACTTAAATCTGTTTAACACATTATTTGAAAACTATTCTTTGCCAGGCACTGTACTCTGGAAGATCAGTAAGATTGGTTCCCTGCTTTTGAGGAATGTCTTCTATTCTCACAGGAGGCTTTATTTAGACTAGCTTTTTTTTGGGGGGGGGGGGGATATATGTTTGACACCCTTTAGCAAAGGAACAGAAATATTAACACTCAACCAATATATTAATAGTCTTCAAGTAAATTGTAGTCTTTATGATATATATAATTAATTTTTGTGTGTGTATACATATCGAGATGATGAGTATCCAGAATTGCCAAATACTTTTCCAAGAATGGTCATTTGATCATTTTCATCTGTACTGTGAAAGGGGAAAACTTACATTTTTATAAGCTTGCCAGCACATTGTCTGAAAGTAATTTGGCGTAAAATAGAAAATTTAGACTAAGTAAAAAAGTATTGCTGTTACAGAATTGATGAGGCTTTCATTTAGTGATTGTTACCCCCCAGGGAGAAATGAAACTTGAACTGTTGGTAATGGGGCACATTTACAGCTGTTAGAGTTGCAGTTGGATTATCCAGTTGGTATCTAATTGAATAACATATAAATTTGCAGATTTAATAATAAGAGGTTTATTATTTTGCATAATAAGTCTGGAAGCTGGATGTTTTGAAGCTTGGTTCATTCATCAGCTGAACTATGTTACCTTTTTTGCTTTCCATGTTTTTGTCTTTTTTTCGGCTTAACAAGTGCTGTTTCCGCCCATGGCTGCAATGTTGCTACAGTTCCAGGCACCATGTGCAGTCATAACTGTCTGACATCTTAGAAGAGTTTCTTCCCATGTGTCCATCAGGAAAGAAGAGCTTTTCCCAGAACCCCTCCAGCAAACTGCCTTAGTTTCTA